AACAGTCTATACACTGGCAGCCGTCCAGCAAGCCGTGGCACGCTTGCTGCTCTGGGGGCTCTACATTCCCAATAACCACTTCAAGCCAGAAGTCTCTGTGACCAATGACTTGGTTGACAAGATCCTCTCGGGAAGGGAGGCAGCCTCCACCTGGAACTACTTCTGGGGGTCTGGACTTAGTGCCTCCCTGGCATCATTACCAAGTGCACCCCTTTTGAGAAGCAACTATTAGCTTGCTATAGAACTCTTGTCAAAACTAAATGACTGACCCACCCAGCCCTTATGAATCTCCAGCCTGATATTCCCATTTTTGGGTGGCTCAACTTAGACTCTACGACTGATGATATCAAAAGGGCTCACAAAACCTTGCATGTCAAATGAACAAGGTCTCAGCTTTACATGAGAAAGTGACAGCTATCTCTCTGGGGAAAATTTTACCCCCACTCAGCCATGTCAGCCATTTCACTGGCTCAATGGGACGCTCAGTTCACAGATTCCCCTAAATCTTGAGCCTGGCTAAGGCTAAGCTAAAACTCAATGGTTCCCACTGGACTGCAGCAGGTGTTCAACCTCAGTGCCAGCTTTGCACACCAAAAAGGGACCTGGAACTTCCACCCAGAGGACAGGACTCAAAACCCCTTCTCAGAGCTCTGGCCAACACTTGCCTTGATGAACCTTGCTATGTGTTTACTGACTCTTGGGCTTTTGCCAGTGGCCTAGCTATCTGGTCTGCCACTTTGAAAACTACAGACTGGCAGATCAAAGACATCCCTGTTTGGGGCTGTGAGCTATGGAAACAAATTATAACTGCTGACCCAAACTTTCTGGGGCCCTCATGTAGATGCCCACAGAAAGGACTCATCCTCTGATGAGACTGACTGGAATCAAGCTGCTATCTGAGCCTCCACTGCCCTGGTTGTTACTATTCTGCTGCCTGGATCCATCATCACACCAGACATGACAACACATCCACCATCACAGAGAATGTACTAAGTGAAGGGCTCTGTTTCTGCAGAGGCTGCCACTGTATTCCAGACTTGTGACTCCTACCCAAAGCTGGTCTAGTTCTTTCCTGACAGACCGACCTTTGAGCCTCTTCCAGGCTATTTATTGGTGGCGCCTCATCACAGGCAACACTTTTTCAGGTTATGATGCTGTTGTTTCAGTCCAATCAGCCAACCATGGTAACACTATTGTGGCCTCTGAAACTAATATGGGTCATGAGTTTGCTTTCCTGGACAATTTCCATAGTACACCTTTTATCAAGAAAGCTACTCAACAATGGGCTGACAAGGTACTTAATGGGACTTCCACACTCCCTGCCATCTGCAGGCATTTGGTATTGCAAAACACTGAAATAGCTCCATAAAAATCAACTCAAAAAGGTTTTTGAGGAGCCAGCCCTGTGGCGTAGTGGTTAAGTCCAGCATACTCTGCTTCGGCCGCCCAGGTTCACAGGATTGGATCCTGGGCTCGGACCTACACCAATTGTCAGCCATGCTGTGGCAGCAACCCACATACAAAATAGAGGAAGACTGGCACAGATGTTAGCTCAGAGTGAATCTTCCTCACCAAAAAAAAAAAGGCTTTGACTGTCTCCCTCATATCCTGGCCTGCACACCATAATAAGGCAGCTGGTCACTAAATGCTGTCTCCAGAAAGATCATCTCCCTTCTACTGCTTCCTGGGCAATGATCAGGATGAACAGCTTGACAGTTTCTTAAAAAGTTAAATATATTCTTACCCTAGAACCCAGCAAATCCCACTCCTAGGTATGTACCCTAGAGAAACAGAAACTTTTGTTCACACAAAAACCTGTATATGAATGTTTATAGCAACTTTATTCACAATCACTCAACACTGAAACAAATCCTACAATTGGATAAACAAATTATGGTATGCTCATATAATGAATATTATTTAGCAATAAATGGGAACAAATTATTGATAAATGCAACAACTTGGATGAATCTCAAAGGCATTTTGCTAAGAGAAAGAAACCAGTCTCAAAGGTTACATACTGTATGTTTCCATTTATATGACATTCATGAAATGACAAAACTATGGTGACAAAGAATAGATCATGGTTGCCAGTAATTAGGGATGGGAGGAGTGTGTGGCTACCATGGAGTAATATGGAGGAGTTTTGGGGGATAATAAAACTGTTCTGTAGCCTGATTATGCCAATGATTACACAAGTCTGTACATGTATTAACATCCAAAGAACTCTATGCCAAAAGAAAAGTCCATTTTAATGAATGTTAATTGAAAAAATAAAACAAAAGGTGGCGAGTATAGTCTTCAAAAATGTCAATTTTTTATTCTTTTTTTAAATAGAAATATAATTGACACATATTAATTTCAAGTGTACAATTTAATGATTCAATATTTGTATATATTGGGAAATGATCACCATAATAAGTCTAGTTAACATCCATCACCATATAGAGTTACAAAAATTTTTTTTTGCTATGAGAACTTTTAAGATCTACTCTCCTAGCAACTTTCAAATATGCAATACAGCATTATTAACTATAGTCTCCATGCTGTTCATTACATCCCCATGACCTATTTATTTTATAACTGGAAGTTTGGACCTTTTGACTACCTTCACCCATTTTCCCCCCACTCCACCCCCCGCCTTTGGCAACCACCAATCTGTTCTCTGCACTTATGAGCTCAGTTGTTTGTTTTTGGGGTTGTTTTTTTTTTGACATAATGTCAAAAAATAAAAATGTCAATTTTATAAAAGTCCAAGAAAGGCTGTGGAAATGTTCCAGATTAAAGGAGCCTAAAGAGACATGACAATTAAATGCAATACCTGATCCTAGACTGGATCTCCTACTGGAAGGGAAAAAATGCTATGAAGTCCTGTATGTTAACAGATAGAACAAATATTCCTGCAGTTTCAGTTCTAAGCTTGCTCAAAACCTGGAAAATACTGACTAATGATCTTAAGTTCTGTTCCACTGACGATTCTCTACGTCAATTAACAGATTCATTCATAACAAGTATTCATTGAGTGCCTGCTACATCAAGGCAATGGACTCAATGGAGACAGGACAACAGAAAGTCCTCTTTTTCTCCAAAGGCTGCTCAAAGTCTTGAGTTTTTCCAATACTATCTGCCAAACCATATAGTCTCCCTTCTTTAACAGTATTTGCTGCCACCGAAACATTAAAATTTTTGGTGGGTTTTAGGACTTAGTTGCTAGTTTTCTAAAAAGTTGTCTGAAATTATTTTTCTATTCTGTAAAAAGTCACTCATTTAGAACACTGCACAATGTCCAGCTTTATGGGCATTTTCTCAAGCCAGCTCATTATGGAAAGAATTTTTTTCTCAAGTTGGCAAACTTTTCCTCCCAAGATATGTGTAACACCTGCGAAGTGGCTCACCTAAGGGAACTAACTTACTGACTCACTCATCACAGACTGTAGGACTCCAGCCTCATTGCTGTGACTGTCTTGGCTCCGCCTTCTCCCTGATATCAACTCTGTCCTGGGGCGGCCTTCCATCCAGTGGCAAATGTCTGCCAACAGCAATCAGGGTCGTATGTTTCTTCAGTCACATTAAGAGACAGGAAAACATGATCCCTAAACCAAACTCTTAAACCGCAGCGCCACACCTCACTGGTTGTACACTGAGGTCACGCACCCCCGTCAGAGGGACGTTCTCTCCCCACCGGCCGTCTAACTCCCTCTCTACCTGGGAGTAACTAGCTGCCGTCCCCGAGATACACACTACCTGCTGCCTCCTCACATCCTTTAGGCCATTCAGCCTACAGGGAACTAAGTCACGCGTTCAAGCGGCCTCGGTTAGCGGGCGCTGGCTGCGCGCACCGCGGCAAGGCGAGGGTGCGGGCCGCAGTCCAGCAAACAGGCCGGCTTCTGCAGGGCCAGCCGGGACTCCGCCGCGGCGCCCTCGGAGGGGGCGGCCTGCGCTCTCACCTCGCGCCTCGGCCCCAGCCCCCGGGCGGGCGCGTCCCCCCGGCTTCCCCCGCATCCGCTCCGCAGAGCCCCTGGGGCGGAGCTCCCCCAGGCCTGCTCGCACCGGGAGCCGGCCCCGGGGCAGGCCCCGCCCTGACGCCGCGCGTTCGGAGCCGGCTCGCGGGCCGTGGGGACAGCCTCCGCCTGAGACGCGCCGCGAAGGCAGCGGTGTGTCTGGCAGGCGCTCGGAGGCTTCGCCTACAGGGCAGCGTCACCGGCAGACACCTTCGGGAGGCACTCCCGTCACCGTGACACCACTTCACAGATGTGGAAAACGAGGCCCTGCGCGGCGACCTGCCCAAGCTCTCACAGCTAGAAAACGGCAGCGGCAGCACCCACACGTGCC